AGAGAGAGAGAGAGAGAGAGAGAGAGAGAGAGAGTCCTTGGCATGAAGAAAAAGAAAGATTTCTACTTGATACGAGAAATAACCGCACCACAGAAAACAAAAGAACAAAATCAGAAAGCAACAAACTCACCATATTTATAAGGCCTATCCATCTTGGAAATAATCGTTGCTTTTGTTCAACAAAAGAAAACTTGAAGTTCACTGTACTGACATATATATATATATATATATGTGTGTGCAAAGTATTGTTATATAGGCCTATATACACGTATTGTTATATTATACAGTGTACACCCTCTCTCAGCTTGCACTGACTGACTGCGTATGATGTCTATCCTTTATATTACCCTGTGCCACCTCGCCACAGTGTCTGATAACTAGTGCAACAGTACCGTGTCAGCTTCAGCCAGCTATAATTAGACCACTGTTTCCCTTGTTCACTTTCACAGACTTTTCGTTCTTACAGTTATGCATTCATTCATTCCTTCTTTCCTGCCGTTTGCATCTCTCTCTCTCTCTCTCTCTCTCTCTCTCTCTCTCTCTCTCTCTCTCTCTCTCTCTCTCTCTCTCGGAAGGTGGAAGGAGATGGCCGTAAAAAGTAGAGTTAAAAAGAAATCCGCTTAACCGGATAATTTCGGAAAATTCGGATCACTGGTTCGTGAGCTTGTGATCTGAATTACGACGGACTCAGAGGTCGGTCTAATAGCCATTCCAATATCAATATTCTGTCCTTCTTCCTGAGCTAAACCTTTTTCCCAAAGTCGCTCTATAAACCGCTGTGATATCTAAGTAACAAAATGGAATATTTTAAAGTATGTTTTGCGTTGAAGTTATTGTGCTGTGCGACGTGCGTGCTCGATTCAGGTAAGTCGAATGACATAAAACCTGCCCACTATTAAATTTTGGATTTTTGTGTGGCCGTATGTACATGTATTATAGCTGGCCCAGTCATCCCATTCAGACGGTTGCTGTAATCAACTAACGTCACTGAGTTAGAAATACCGAAGTTGAAATACAGGTCACTTGGGGAAAGATCTTTGACATTTTATAGCCCTAGAACATGGCAAACACTGTCCGACAAAACATTTAGTCAAACAGGAAAAAGCCTTTGAATGATATTTTAAAAATAAACAAACAAAACAAAACAAACACCTACATCTTTACAGATTATGAATAGTGATTCTATTTCACTGCAGCCAAAGAGTTTTTTTTGTTTGTTTACGTCTGAGTAATCCTTACTTTCAATGACTGTATAGTGCTCAAAGCTTTTTTCCCTATCAGTAAAGCACCCTGTATAAACGCTGCATTATTATTTGAATATTTTTATCATTATTACAATATTATATTATTTTTATCATCATTACTATATTTTCATTATTATTTTCATTATTGTCAAAAGGCTTTATTTCTAACTTAACTCGTTTGTTTGTGAACTATGAACAGTTGCCTTCGATTCCATTTATACCGGCATATAGCAAATTGATTCATTAAAGATTATCCGGTTAAATTCGGAAAGAGTATTTGACCAGTTTCTTTTCTTGGCATGGCAGCAGACAGTAGGCCTACGCGGGTGCTGCAAGTGGTAGACCTAGATCTATCACACGCGTACGTTTGTATAATATTGCTTCGAGTTTTGAGTACAACAACGCGAATGTGAGAGATGACGTACGCTACGCTTTCACACCGATTCTTCCCCAACAATTGGATATTGTTGAGACAACAATCAATCAGAACACACGATCGCACACTGAAGAGTGAAACGAGTACGAGCACAAGGGGGGTGGAGGGGGAGAGGGCGGTCACAAGTTGGAAGTGGAGATTTAGGAGACAGAATTAGATCTAGTCAGCTTATCACCCTGGCCCGATTTCAAGACAATCAAAGATAAGACTGCTCTTCTTCTTCTTCTTCTTCTTCTTCTTCTTCTTCTTCTTCTTCTTCTTCTTC